AAAGGAATTTTTTTCTTGCAACCTCTCCTGCCTCGAGTCGTTCTGGGTTTCTGCATTTTGGGTCCGACCTCCTCTTGCCGCATCGTGACAATATTACTCAAAAATACAGAACTGCAGCATTTTATTAGCAAAAATATACAGTGTTGTGATTTATTTATGAAAAAGACAGCGTTTGTCATGTTTCCATGAATGATGGTAAACAATGGGAGAATTTTCTTGTTTACAGTATAATAATGATATTCTACACGCCATTTACAAGCTGTCAGGTAAACATACAGTGAGCAGTAATATAACAACTTAGAGGTAGCGCGTCTCTTCTGGTAAACAGCCTGTGACGTAGTAGTCGGTCTGTGCATGTCCTCAAAGTATCACATATCGACGAGTAGTTGGAACACCTGCAGAAAACACCCGGAGACATGGTCATTGCCACGTGAGTGAAGGGCCCGATCTCAATACTCGCGGACGTCAGAAAAGTGCACTTGGAGAAAGTTCGCTGTAAGGCTTCGAGTGCGTAGTACACAAGTGTGGAAGTAATTGCAGAATTGAGACAGGGAGCATTACGTCATCAATCAATGGTCGCTGTGACACTTTTTTCAAAAACCTTTATTAACAACTTTTAAACAAACAGCCCAACAGTTATTTGAAACAAATTTACATTTATTGCTGCTTTGTCAAAAGGTTTTAGAGCATAAACTAATCGTCCTAAAAATAACTAAATTCATTAGAAAATACATATTTTCAGAAAAGGAACTTGAGCCTTTTCTCCTGCAGCAACAACTTGTGGGTAATAGCCTTGCCCAAGGTCCGCATCACTTCGGACTTGGGTGAAGTGCAAGCTAACGGTGCCATGGGGGCGTGGTCAGAGCCGGATTAAGCAAAGGCAAAGTAGGCACGTGCCTAGGACCTGATTGGCTGGATGGGGCCCAGACAGAAGAACAAAATTAAAAATAAATAAATTAAAAATTTAATGTACAAATGTCCTATGATAGAATTTGTAGATAGGACTCCTATCTACAATTTATTTCAATATTTATTAACTAAAAATGGTGACGTTTATCTTAACCATTGACCGTTTCATTGGCTACATCACGTTAAGGCGCCACCCAATTAAGGATGTCAGAGAAGTGGTCAGAGTCAGAGCGGGACACAACAAAGCTAGCAAGTGTTTTTGAGTAGGCTAACTTTCACGATGCTTTCGGGTGCGTCAAAACGTAAAAAAAAAAAAAAAAAGAAGAGGAACAAAAGAATAGACAAAGGGGGGCTTTACAGAAGTTTCTGTCGGGCTATTCGGGCAGCCGTCCGACAGCTGTGAACCTGCTCGAGTCAGCAGAGCGAGAGGCCGGGCCCAAGCCAGACCCGGAGGAGACACGGTCCGAAGACGCGGTGGAAGATGCGACGGGAAATGCGGCGGAAGACGCTGTAGCGCCAACGCCGTCAACATCAACGCCTTACTAGCAATAGAAAAAGTCCTTGGATTTATCAAAAACATTTACAGTCTCAGAAGGACATGATGCAGAGCCGAGAGACGTTGGAAGTCAACTCAGAAAATCACAGGCTGCACTTTAGAAAACTGATGAGATCTCTGAATAAGACGATCAAAATTTCCAGGGCCACTTACTTTGCTCAGCTGATTGCCGTAAACAAAAATAACTTAAGTTCTGTTTGACACCATAAACCAGATTGTTTCACCTCACGCCCCTTTTATGCTAGTTTACTCAAGGTCTGACTGTGACAACTTTCTAGCATTCTTTGAGAATAAAATCAGAAATCCAGCTACCGTCCTCCCAGTCGTGGTCTGTACAGTATTTACTCCTGTAGATTTCCAGGACATTTGCCTCGTTCAGAAACACATGAAAACAACCTCATGCCGTGCTGATTTCATTCCTGCTACCTTGTTCATCAGGATGTTTGACCAAATTGGCCCATGCATTATAAATCTTATTAATTTATCCCTGCAATTTGGCTTTGTACAATCTGTTTTCTAACATGCAGTTATTGAACTGGTGGGAGTATCTGCGGTAAGACGTTTCCTGTTTTCAGTGTTGCACTACGTGTAGCTGTTTGGTGTTTGGGGCTCGCTAAAACTGATTTCTCTGTACTAGGATATCCCTGAGTTATTGTAGCACATAAGCACGCTAAAACACACATTTTCTGTTGTTCCACCTAGCTTTTAGGGAACCATTTGAGTTTGCACGCAGTTTATTTGGTGTTGAACAGTTTGCTTAGCCTCAGCACGGCTATGGCTACTTCTGTCTCTGCTTCTCCGTCTCCTATCTCTTGCTCTCTGTGTCAGATGTTTAGTTACTCCTCTGCCTCCTTTAGTGATAATGGTACGTGTAATAAATGTAGCATTTTTGTAGCTTTGGAGGCGAGGGCGTCGGAATTGGAGGCCCGGCTCCATGCTGTTGAAAAGCCTGTAGATAGCCGTAGCTACTTAGCTAGCATTGGGCTAACTAGCACAGAATCACCCCGTAGCGGTCCTCCAGCAGAACCTGAGCAGCCGGGACCTCAGGCCGGCTGGGTGACGGTACGCAGGAAGCATAGAACTCAGGCTGTGGACCACCACCAACCTGTCCACGTTAAATCTTACCTGAAACTGCTGGCTAAGGATAAGATAAATACAGTAAGATTGCTATTAACGCTGGCGGTAACGACACCCGGTTACGCCAATCAGAGGTCACTAAAATTAATGTTGCTTCGGTGTGTAAGTTTGCCAAAACAATGTCGGACTCCATAATTTTCTCTGGCCCCCTGCCTGATCGGACCAGTGACGACATGTTTAGCCGCATGCTGTCCTTCAACCGCTGGCTGTCTAGGTGGTGTCCTGAAAACAACGTGGGCTACATTGATAATTGGAAAACTTTTTGGGGAAAACCTGGTCTGATGCGGAGAGACGGCATCCATCCCTCTTTGGATGGTGCAGCTCTTCTTTCTAGGAACATGGCCAGTTTTATTAGTCCTCCATGACAACCCAGGGTCCAGACCAGGAAGCAGAGTCGTAGTTTAACCCACCCCTCTGCAGCTTCTGTACTGTTACCCACCCACCACCCCATAGAGACAGTGTCCTGCCCACGGCCAAAATCACACAGATTAAATATCAGGCTTAATAAAGCAAATCATGGAAATCTCATAAATATTAGAACAAATTCAACTGAGCAGAAAACTAAAAAAATTAAATGTGGGTTGTTGAACATTAGATCCATTTTTTCTAAGACTTTGTTAGTTAATGACGATTTGTGATAATCAGATCTCCTTGCTCTCTCTCACAGAATCCTGGCTGCAGCAAGAGGACTATGTTAGCTTAAACGAGTTGACTCCATCTAATTATTTAAATCATCATATTGCTCGAAGTACAGGGTGAGGAGGAGGAGTGGCAACCATTTTTCATTCGGACTTATTAATCAGTCCCTTACAGATTAATAGTTACAGTTCGTTTGAACATCTTATTCTTAGTTTTCCTAATCCAGATTGCAAAACTGTAAAACCACTCTTGTTTGTAGTTTTATATCGTCCACCAGGCCCTTACTCTGAGTTTTTGGATCAGATCTCTGATTTTTTATCTGATTTGGTGCTAAATACTGATAAGGTCATTATAGTGGGGGATTTTAACATTCATGTGGACATTGGAAATGATAGCCTCAATGTAGCCTTTAGTAATATCTTAGACTCAATTGGTTTTACTCAAAGAATACATAGCTCCACCCACTCCTGCCATCATACATTGGACCTTGTGCTGACTTATGGCATAAAGTGTGAGGAAATAACAATCTTTCCACATAATCCAGTCCTCTCGGACCACTTTCTGATAACCTTTGAGTTTTTTATAACTGAGTTCTCGAGACATGAAAGTAAATTTCACTATAGTCGGTCTCTATCTGACAACGCAGTTGCATCTATTAAATCAACTGTTCCATCTTTACTGTCCT